GCCGTAAAATAGAGTGAAATCTTGCCATTTGCAATGATATGGATGGAGGTAGAGATTATCATGCTAAGTGAAATAAGTCAGGGAAAGACAAATGCCATCTGATCAATCATACGTGGAATTTATGAAACAAACAAATGAACAATGGGAGAATGAGGCAAACTAAGTAACTACAGAGAACAAACTAATGGTTACCAGTAGGGAGGTGGGTAGGGGATGGGTGAAATAGGTGATGGGGATTAAGGAGTACACCTGTGGTGGTAAGCACTGAGTGTTGTATAGAAGTGTTGAATTACTATATTGTACACCTGAAAGTAATATTACACTGTTTACTGACTGGAACTTAAATAAAAACTTGAAAATAATTAATTAAAGACATAAACAAATTGAATTTATGGTGGAATTTGCATTAAAATTCTGGTGAAATTTTTCTGTATATCTTAAACTCTAATGATGTATATACTCATAGGAGTTCCCCAATTAGCCATGTTTTTTTTCTGTTTATCCTCCATGCTCAGACAGGGCACTCCTATACATCTTTCCATGGGAAGGAATGGATCTGGAAAAATTCTGGGAGGACTGATAAATATTTTTGTTCTGTTTTCTATGGTGAAATAAAGCATCAGTTCCCAAAAGGCTGAGAGCTTCCACTAGTGTTTATCTAAATAATCTACATGCCATGACTGTGCAAAAAGAAAATGGAGAAATATTACTGTCTTGTTTTACTAAGGAGTAGAGGTGGGGATAATCTAAGACAGGACAATATTTTGTAGACACCTGTGCTGTGAACCAGCCACTTTCCCTAGCTCAGCACAGAAGACCTTTTAATAGACTTATTTTTCTGAATTTATTTTCCTTTGTTTATTTTTTCATATTTTTAGAATATTGATTTTTTATCATATGAGAGATACATGTTTATTATAGAAAATAAAAAAAATACAATGAAAAATTAGAATAGTCCTACCTTTCAGTAATAACTATTCTTAAAATAAGAGTGTGTGGGTATTTTTGCCAGTGTTTTGTTTGCATATATGCAGGTGTGTGTGTGTGTGTGTGTGTGTGTGTGTGTGTTCACGTCACATGCCTTTTCACAAAATTAGAAAATTCTGTATTTATAGTTTTATAACATGTATTCAAAAATTATCATCTTTCACTTATTATAAGTAATACAAATTCATTGTAAAAATATTTAAATATGATTAAACTAATTGAAATAAAAATTAACAAAATATTAAAGGGCGCCTGGGTCAGTTAAGCATCCAAGTTTGGCTCAGGTCATGATCTCATGGGTCATGGGTTCAAGCCCCACATTGTGCTCTGTGCTGACTCAGAGCCCAGAGCCTGCTTCAGATTCTGTGTCTCCCTCTTTCTCTGCCCTTCCTCAGCTTGTGCTCTATCTCTCTCTCTCTTCCTCAAAAATAAAGAAACATTAAAAAAAATAAGTAAAACTAAACAAAATGAAGAAAAATAGAAGTTTCCTGTAATTCCGTCCAGAAATAACAATGTCAGTGTTTTGGTATTAAATAACATCATTCTTTTTGTTTCTTTTTCCTCTATGAAAAGGTACACTTCTTTTACTTTTACAAAATTGAGATCACACTGTACCTACATAGTAGGTTTTGTCACCTTCATTTAATTTACTTTCCAATTTTTTGTGAATATTTTCTTTGTTATCAATTCTTCTTCATTTTTATAGTATTTATTGTAGGAAGAGGTCCTAAGTGATTTATTGAGTCCTTCATTGTTAAGCATATAGGTTATTTCCATTTATTTTTCAATTATAAACAACACTGTAGTGGCCATCTATCCACACTTGTTTCCTAGAATGCATTGTTAGCGGTACAGTTGCTCATCACAGCATATATGATGTGAATATATCATTTGTGCCTTTTTAAAATAAGAAAAAATATTTAAGTGATCTTGAGAAAGGTATTCTCAATAAAATTTTGAGGAATGAAAATGAATCTGTGGCCTTTTTTTTCTATAGAAGAGTCCAATGAAGTTCCAAATGAGGCAAGGGTTCATAAGGAGGAGGACCACCATGCAGTATCCGCAGATAATGTGGTATGTACATTTTGAAATTCTTTCCTCATGATGGATTCTTTCCCACATGATGGATTTCAAGGATATGTTTCCCTTTGGTAATGATACTGGTGTTAGCAGAATAAAATCTTGCTCCACTTCACAAGCCAAAACAGAGCTGTCACCAATGAATTTATATATCTTTGAGAATTTAAGAAATGAAACTTAAAGCACTGTCATTTGTGCCTCAAATTTTTTGATTGAAGAGATTTGTAGGGCGCCTGGGTGGCTCGGTTAAGCATCCAACTTTGACTCAGGTCATGATCTCACAGTTGGTGAGTTCAAGCCCCACTTTGGGCTCTATGCTGATGGTTCTGAGCTTGGAGCCTGCTTCAGATTCTGTGTCTCCCTCTCTCTCTGAATTTCCCACACTCGTGCTCTGTCTCTCCTTCAAAAATAAATAAGCATTTTTTTTTTAAAAAGAAGAGATTTGCACATATAAAAATCTGATGCTTACTACACATAGACATTTTATACATGTTACTTTTCTTTAACACATTCAGCAAAAAGCAGATTTCTTCTCATTTAACAGGTGGAAGAAATAAAACTGAGGTTAGCCTGAAACCATGAAGGAAGCCCTTGTTAGTTCTGGGTCTTGTATCCAAGGATTCCTGATTCAGAGTTGTCTGTTCAGACCACACCTATCTCTACTATGTTTGGAAACTTACCTTCTTTCTAGTTGTATTAGACTCTTTTAGTCTTCTTAAAAATTGCTCTAATGAGAGAAGGAGGATATTAAAAGACTCGGTAACAGGCAGAGACAGACTGTATGCAGATTAAACTGGGCTTTGTGAAAATGTAAACATTATTGATATATAGAAATGTTCTCCAAACAGCTGTTTTAGCAGCATCTGTTTATATTTTGACTCCATCAAGTAATACAGAAATCAAGATAATATTAAAGTCAAAGCCAAAAGCAAATGCCATTTTGCTTTTGTTTTTTTCTTTTGAATTAGTAATTTTTGCTTGATTGAAATCTTTAAAAAATGGTCCCTATAATGGATTTTTGTGTTACAAAATGGGTGTAGCTTCATGATTTAGCCAGGCTTCCATTGCGAAAATTATTTATGACACTCTGATTCTTCTATATCTCCTTAATAAAAGTTGACACATAAAATACAATTTTGCTCTTTTTTGTTAAATTCAACAATATATAACAGTGTTTTCCAGGTGCAGAATATAGTTTAGGATTACATTTTATTGATCTCAGTCCTGATTTAAGTTGATGTTTGACCCTAGTAACACAACTCAATAGACTATAGGAAAACAAGCTTTGATTTTGATGCAAAGCCATGTTTTCTTTAGATAGCTAGTAATAATTATTTTCCACAATATTAATCGTGTTAACATACATTCCATGAAGTAATAATATCCTCTGCTCTATATTTGAGTTGTACTGTACAAGCTATATACAATTATTTACAAATTAAAACCTTTTGCCCTAAACACATGTTCATTTTTAGTCTGAATTTCTCTGCATTGGATCTCCCCTCAGCAGACATTTGGAAATAATAAATGAAGTAATAGCATGGGATGACTGAAGTCACT